AATGTACTGAGATTCTAGAGTCCCTAGAATTTAGTCCTTACCATTTTGCTTTAATTGTTGTTTCTATCAACGTGATTGGAAATTTGGAATGCACAGTCTTCATTAGTTCAATACCCTGCATTTCTGTCTATTAAACATTTTGATATTGAGAAGATGGCAAAGGTGTGTCTTATTATTATATGGGTTTTTGTCACAAATAGTCCTTAAAATCGAACCACCTCATCAAGATGATCATTGGAATTGAAAATCGATTTATGTAGTCTCTAAAAAATAGGTGCTGCAAATCAATGTGGTTTTTCCATCACGATTCTGTAAAAAAATTTGTTATATGCTAATATAGCATATAACTGGGTCCCAATTTCTAATTAAATATTGACATGTGAATTAAAAATATTTAAATAATGAAAAAAAAAAATTTGTTAATTAAAAACTTAAAATATAAACAAAGAAAAAAAAAAAAATCCTCTTCTTCCCTTCCTAATTTCAAAAAAGGAAAACTAATTAAAAGAGCTTGAAAACTTTGAGTTTTAATGATAAAGACAAAATAAAGGATCAAGTGAATAATATCATGATTGACTTTTTAGTGTAAAAATATGATTTTTCATTAAGATAAACAGTACAGTGGCTTTTCGTTATAAATCCCTTTCAAAAACCCACAAATTTCAAAGAAAACCGAATTTGAAAAACTCAGAAAAAATTCAAAGGAAACGATCCGTTGGCAGCTTCTTCCATAACTCCTAAGCGCCTATCTTCGCTGGATAAACCGCCAGCAGCTTCTTCATCGGAAGAAGAGGGAAGATGAGGAATCCATACATGGGTCAGATTCAGAACTAGAGAAGCTCTACCTCCGAAGAGCTCGTCTTCAACATTCGTTGCCGAAAAGAAGCCACCACCAATGAAACCGGAATCCTCCGCCGTCAATTCGAAGCCGAAGTCTTCATCGTCTGTTCCGATTTTGATTTCGATGAGGATGAGAATTTGGTGGCGAAGCCAAGTGCTGCCCAATAGCCACCCTGAGCCGAGTCGACGAAAGTTGCACTAACAGCCCCATTGTTGTCACCCACGTCATTAGCTACAACAGCGAGTTCCAACCTATTGCCCCCACCTGAAGATCGCCCACAAATGTGGTTGTGCAGGCATGGTTGTGCTCATGTGGGAGGGATTTTTTTTTTTTTTTTTGGTTTAAGCTTTTAATTATACAAAAATAGAAATTGTTATTTTTTATTTAAATATATTTAATTCATATGTCAATATTTGATTAGGTTTGAGAGACATAGTTATATTCAACATCAATACATAACAGGATTTTTGACAAAATTATGACGAGAATACCACATTGATTTGCGACACCCATTTTTAGGGATTACATTGATTTTCAATTTCAAGATCGTCTTGATAAGGTGAGTTAATTTCAGGGACTAGTCATAAAATTGTTTTTTAGTGTTTCATTCCGTTGACTTCCTTTCTTTGTATTACAAACTTTGTAATGCAGTTATTGACTTGAAGTATTAATTCGGTTGTAGGAGGATCACAAGGTTATTCTAAATGTATATGACCTAAGCCAAAGATTAACTAGCAAATGTCCATAGCTTTCTTAGGGACACCAATTAAAGTGGTAGATTTGTTTGTAAATTCATAATGTTTTGTTAATTTCGTGGTGAAGGCGCTGCAGTCGAATTTATAGTGGTTTTCTAAGTTTCAATTTTTTATTTTATTTTTAATTCTATTAATTCTACTTGGGTGCTTTTTCTGGGTGTTGCAAGAACACCAATGTGTGCATTTATGGGTTTCTAAGTGTCAAATTTTTTTTTTTACTATAGTTTTTCTGGGTGTTGCAAGAACACCAATGGATGCTTTTCTGGGTGCACTTTCATCTACACCTGCCACCGAGCTGGAATTGGTAGGAGGAGGAAGGATGAAGATGGCATCCTCGCGGGCTCGTTAATGTTCTCAAAGGTTTTTACCTTGCATGCTAAAGCCCAACACCCCTCGAGAGCTGAGTACCCTATGACTTTCGTGTTTTATTTGAACGGCATATTAATAAAACACTGTTTGTCAATAAAAATCTAATAAAATTACTGCTATACTCTTTAATCTAAACTACATATTAATAAAACATTATTTGTTAACAAAAAACTAATAAAATTAGAGTAAACTGTTGATTTACCCCCTGAACTTTCACTTAGCTTTCGATTTCCCCTTGAACTTTTCTATTGGAAAATTAAGGACTCAAACTAATTTTTTTAGCCAATTTGCCCCCTACGGTTAGTTTTTCATATATTCCATCCATATTTCTATTAAGTGAGACCATGTGCACAACATGTGAAAGTAGCTAACTCATTTCATTCTTAAAAATAATTAAAAAAACTAAAAATAAATAAAAAAACTAAACTTTCCCTCTATTTTTTCCTGCTAATTCCTATCCTCAATTTTATTTTTCCCTCTCATTCCTATACATGATAAATGACATATGGTATTATTGTCTTCATAAGTAGCTAAGTTAGGTGTAACATCCCGTCCCGGAATTATTAAAACGTACATGGAAATTACAATTTTACCCCTAGTTGTTATTTTTACGTGTAGTTTTGTGTTGTGTGGTGTGTAGGACCACACACACACACACTCCTACACCTCGTCTCACTCCCCCGGGATTCCCTCATTTCCTGTCTCTTCCCTGTCTCTCTCTCACTCTCCCCGAGTTCTTCTTCTTCTTCCTTCTGCAAACACACGGACACACACACAAATCTACTCAAACCTTCACCAATCGAGAAACCAAGACCACCATCGTGTTCGTGGAGCTGAGAGAAGTCCAGTGGTGCCATTTCCAGGTAAGAACTTTGACGTTTTCACGTCGATATCGCTTTGGCCGATTTGAACACTGTTCATGCACAATTAATCTAGCTTGTTTTGGGAGATTCTAAGCTTGTAGTTGTGTTTGTGAGGTTCCCAGGAGCTTGGGAGTGGTTCGTTGGGTGAATTTGGACGTCGGGATTGTCCTGTGCAAAGTTGGCCGAACTTGGATCGTTGTTGTAGGTGAGATTTCATGGTTTTTAGGCCTTAAAACTAGTCTAACGTTGTTCTACTAGTCCTAGGCTTCATTTTGGTATAAAGAACGTGAAATTTGGTTGAAAAACGAAGGAGAAAACAAAGTTTGAAAAATTCCCAGTTTTCCGGCGACGGCGCCGGCGACGGCGGCGGCGCCGGCGACGGCGACTGGCCGGAGAAGGAAGGGGAATATTCCGTTAAGTTTAACGGAATATTCCTAACGGCAGTGACGGCGTCAGTTAGGGAATATTCCGTCAGGTTAACGGAATATTCCTGACGGCGTCAGTTGACGCCGTCAGTGTGCAGTGCACGTGACTGCGCGTGGGGGCGCGTGGGTCAGTGACTGTTCAGGCGCGTGGGGGCGCGTGCGTGGTCCAAAAATTATTTTAAAAATATGGGTGTGATCCTGAGGTTGTGTAGATCACGTTGGTATATTCAATTGTCCAATTTGAGCAATGTATGAGAAGTTATTACGAGAAGTTGCTTAGGTGCTTTTAAATTAATGTTTTCGTAACTTTGTTGCGTATAGGTGATTCGTTTCCCGAGGACGAACGTTCACATTCGAGGCAGGGGGGCTACGACCCTTCTAATTACCAGTGAGTGGGCTTTTGTTTTCCGTATATACCTATATACATTTATATTCCCAGAAATTAAATAGAAAAGGTTATTTGAGTTATGCCATGCACTTTATTATTATTACTTATGCATCATCACATGCATTAGTAGCGGCATACATATAAATAAATGTGTATTTGGTGCTGTGGACGCACAGGTAAGTGCCAGGTAAGCGGTATTCATGTTGTTATGCAATAGTAATTTGAGATGTTTAGAGAGCTCATAATCTGCACCCCCGGTGTTAGTGCTCCCGCCCAGGGCCAGGGCACAGTCCTTCACGTGATGTTCACCAGCACCACACGCTCGCCTTGGATCCAAGTTAGGTGCAAGCCTTGTCGGACAGACTACATTAGGTGGTTCCGACTCGTAGGTGACCCGCGATTATTCGCACAGTCTTCACGTGATCGTAGCACTAGAGCGTATATATTACACCCAGTCCTGTCGGACAGACTACATTAGGTGGTTCCGACTCGTGTGCAGATTCAGATGTTGAGTTGAGATTGGAGCTCTATATGCAGCGATACATGTCACGTTAGGTGACTCCCGGCTGCCAGTTTATATGTGATTGATGTGAATTTATATGTGATTGATGTGAATTACGCTTGAGCATTTACATTTGATTATGAGATTCTGTTGTGTCATATTCTCAAGCATGAATGGCATATTGTGAGCATAAATGGCATATGTGGAGCATGATTGACATATCTATACATACGTATATATGTTCATTTTCTGGGAAGTATACAGGTTTTACGGCGAGGGGTTAGAATGTATTTTGTTAAAGAGTTTTCAAAGAGCTTTGTTTTTGCCCACTCACGCTTTTGTTTTTGCGCCCCTCCAGGTTCTAGTGGTCTAGCAAGTTCAGTGGTTTATCCCAGAGGGCGTCCCGGCATTTCTGACAGACACTCACCATTGTAGGGTCACCTTCGGGTGTAAATACATCGTATCTTTTCCTTTTGGACTGTTGTAGACTTGCTCTGAATTGTGTCTCACATACACTAGTACTTTGTATGCTTTTAGGTTTTTAATTATTCGTACTTTTATATTACTATCTTAATAGCTTCCGCACGCGCACATGGTTACGTCACCTTCGTGTGACGGCCAGCATGCCCTGATCTCGGTCGGGGTGTGTCAGCTTGGTATCAGAGCCTAGGTTTGGCAGTCCTGTGTCTTTGTGAGTATTCTAATAGTTGGTGTCTTCTGTCAGAATCATGCCGCCTCGTCGGGAACCACGTCGCTCAGATGAGCCTAGTTTCCCTGATCTTACTCAGTTGGGGGAAGTGATTGCTACAGCCCTTCAAACAGTGATGCGCCCTCCCCAGAGGACTCCTCTGGAGACTATGTATAATTTGAAGTTGGATGAGTTTAAAGGTAACGAGGGTCACGAAGGTGCAGAACGTTGGTTGGAACACATAGAGAAGACTTTCCGTGTGTTACATAACCAGGGGAACCTTCCTATGGAAAGGTGGGTTGAGACAACGTCATGGTTTCTGGAGATGGAGTCTGCCGCTTGGTGGGAGCAAGAACTTCGTATGTTGACTCCAGCTCAGAGGACCGATTGGAATGTTTTCAAGGACGTGTTTCAAAGGAGATTTGTACCCCCTGAGTATATCGACCGTAAGAAACAGGAATTCACTGAGTTGAAACAGCGAAAGATGACGGCTAACGAGTATTATCGTAAGTTCACTGATTTGTCTCGTTACTATCCTGATGTCGCTGGTAATCCGGCGGAGATGCTTCGTCGTTTTCGCTTGGGCACTAAGAAGAAATGACGTTCTATGGTAACTACTACTCACTGTGAGTCCTACCAGGAGTTCTATGAAATATTGTTGAGGGTTGAGGACTCAGAGAATATGTCAAGTGATAGTGACGAAGAGAAAAACGGTAATCAGAAGAAAGACGACAAAGGAAAAGGTCAAACATCGCTGGGGCCTCGCCAAACTCAGAACTTTAAAAGGGGTGGTGCAAGTTCAAGTTCGTCTAGTGGTGGTTTTAGTGCCTCTGGACAAGGACGCGGAGGTAGGTTTTATGGAGGTGCTCGAGGCCAGAGACAAGGTGATGGTGGCCGAAACCGACTCCCATTTTGCCGTAGATGTAATAACCGACATTTCGGCGAATGTAGGCGTGGCAACGGTGCTTGTTTCACGTGTGGGCAGATGGGACATATAGCTGTGAATTGTCCCCAGGGTCAGCAGCAGAAGCCGCAGCAGACCTTTATGCCGCCACCTGCACCGATTCGGCAAATCCAAGGTCCGAGTAATTATGGTCAAGCAGGTAGAGGTGGTGCCTATCATTATCAGGGTGATGCTGTTCCCTATGCCCCGGGACCGTATCAGTACCCCCAGGAACCGTATTCACAAGGTGGTTATCCCCCGTATCCCAGCAACTACATGCCGTATCCTCCAGCTCCTACAGGTGGTTCTCAGTGGTACCAAGGAGGACAATATCAGCAGAGTGAGAATGCCACTAGTAGTGCAGGATCTTCGAGACAGATGGGTCAGCCCAGTCAGGGGCGTGGAGCTCAAGGTCGCGGTGTTCATGCGAGCAGAGGTCGCGGTGGACGACAGCAGGGCCAGGGGCGTATTCACAATATTTCCCTGCAGGATGCTCAGAACAACCCGGATCTAATTATGGGTACGTTAAATATTCTTGGTTATTTTGCTAGAGTCTTAATTGATTGTGGAGCTACACATTCCGTTATTTCTCATACATTTGCTCAAGTAACGCAACCTCGCCCCACACCTCTAGGGTACGATTTAGAATTCGCTATGCCTAGAGGAGAGAGATGTGTTGTAGATTGTATGTACCCAGGATGTCCAGTGATAGTAGAAGGTGTTGTTATGCCCGCTGATCTTATCCCGTTAGATATTGTCGATTTTGATGTGATTTTGGGCACAGATTGGTTGCACTTCTATCGTGCCAACATTGATTGTTACGGGAAAGTAGTTACGTTTCACCGTCCTGGATTACCTGAGGTTACTTTTGTGGGTGAGCAGAGTGGGGTAAGACACGGCGTTATATCGGCTTTGCGAGCGAAGAAGATGTTGTCTAAAGGTTGTCAGGGGTATCTAGCTCATGTGGTGCTAGAGGAGACCGTTCCTAGCAGAAGTGAGGATGTGAGAGTGGTTAGACACTTCCCTGATGTTTTTCCTGAGGATTTACCGGGTTTACCCCCAGATCGAGATGTGGAGTTCAATGTTGAGTTGCTTCCAGGTACTAATCCTATTTCTTTAACTCCTTATCGTATGGCTCCTGCTGAGTTAAGGGAATTAAAAGTGCAATTACAGGAATTAGTGGATAAGGGATTCATTCAGCCTAGTACTTCACCTTGGGGCGCTCCAGTGTTGTTTGTGAGAAAGAAAGATGGGACTTTGAGGCTGTGTATCGACTACAGGCAATTGAATCGGGTGACGATTAAAAACCGTTATCCATTGCCTCGTATCGACGATTTGTTTGATCAGCTGAGAGGTGCTTGTGTATTTTCTAAGATAGACTTGAGGTCTGGGTACTATCAGCTGAAGATTAGTAGGGATGATGTTCCTAAGACGGCATTCAGGACTCGTTACGGTCATTACGAGTTTCTGGTCATGCCATTTGGGTTGACGAATGCACCAGCAGCTTTTATGGATTTGATGAACCGGGTATTCCAGCCTTACCTGGATAGATTTGTTATTGTCTTCATTGACGATATTCTGGTGTATTCTAAGTCCAAAGCAGAGCATGTTCGACATCTTACTTTGGTGTTGAAGAGGTTGAGGGAACACCAATTGTATGCTAAGTTTAGCAAGTGCCAGTTCTGGTTAGATCAAGTCGCATTTTTGGGGCACATCATTTCTGCTCAAGGTATTCTGGTTGATCCTCAAAAGGTTGCAGCTGTGGAGAGTTGGGAGCAACCACGAACCGTCACTGAGGTAAGAAGTTTCATTGGTTTGGCGGGATATTATCGGAGATTCGTTAAGGATTTTTCGGTGATTGCCTTGCCACTGACGAGGTTAACAAGGAAAGACGTTAAGTTTGAGTGGAATGATAAGTGTGAGCAAAGTTTTCAGCAGTTGAAGCATTGTCTTACTAATGCACCTGTTTTGGCACTTCCGGACGATAGTGGTGATTTCGAGGTTTATAGTGATGCTTCCTTGAATGGTCTGGGATGTGTATTGATGCAGCATGGTAGGGTGATTGCTTATGCTTCGCGGCAGTTGAAAACCCATGAGACGAATTACCCTACACATGATTTGGAGTTGGCTGCTATCATCTTTGCGTTGAAGTTGTGGAGACATTATCTTTACGGAGAGAAGTGTAGGATCTTCACAGATCACAAGAGTCTTCAGTATCTCTTCACCCAGAAGGAACTAAATCTTCGTCAACGGAGATGGTTGGAGTTGCTCAGCGATTACGATTGCACGATTGATTATCACCCAGGTCGTGCGAACGTAGTAGCCGACGCACTTAGCAGGAAGTCACATGGCCGTATCAATGCGTTGTACGCTAGTCGTATTCCTCTTTTGGTAGACTTGCGTGCTACGGGAGTAAGGTTAGAAGCAGAAGATCGAGAAGTGGCGTTACTTGCTAATTTTCAAGTTAGGCCAATCTTAGTTGATCGGGTGCTTGAAGCTCAAGTAGCTGATGAACAGACTCAAGAACTAATTCGAGCTCGAGATCAAGGAAGGAGGCGAGACCTCAGAGTTCGTGATTCTGATGGCATGTTGATGTTAGAGGGTAGAATGTTCGTGCCTAGTAATGTGGATTTGAAGAAGGAAATTCTCGATGAAGCACATATCTCGGCTTATGCCATGCACCCAGGGGCAACTAAAATGTATCATACCATTCGACCATTTTACTATTGGCCGGGTATAAAAAGGGAGATAGCTGAGTATGTGAGCAGTTGTGCTGTTTGTCAGCAGGTTAAAGCAGAAAGAAAGAAGCCGTTTGGATTGTTGCAGCCGCTTCCCGTTCCAGAGTGGAAGTGGGAAAATATCACTATGGATTTTGTGTACAAGTTGCCGCGTACACATAATGGCTTTGATGGCATTTGGGTGATCGTTGATCGGCTCACTAAGTCGGCACATTTCATTCCAGTGAGAGAGAAGTATTCTTTGAGCCGGTTAGCAGAATTGTTTATCTCAAGGGTTGTAAAATACCATGGTGTCCCTGTAAGTATTGTCTCGGATCGTGATCCACGATTCACATCGAAGTTTTGGGTAGCTTTTCAGGAAGCTTTGGGTACGAGACTACTTTACAGTACGGCATATCATCCACAGACGGACGGACAGTCCGAGAGAACTATTCAGACTTTGGAAGATATGCTGCGAGCATCAGTGTTACAGTTCAGTGATGCTTGGCACCAGCGGTTAGACTTGATGGAATTTGCCTACAACAACAGTTTCCATTCGAGCATTGGCATGGCGCCATTTGAAGCCTTGTATGGTAGATCTTGTCGCACTCCGTTGTGTTGGTCAGAGGTTGGCGAAAGAGTCTTAGTAGGTCCGGAGATTGTTGAGGAGACTACTCAAAATATTCAGGTAATTAGGTCTAACCTGAAAGCAGCTCAAGACAGGCAGAAAAGTTTAGCAGATCGACATGCTACGGACAGAACGTATAAGGTCGGAGATTGGGTATTTCTGAAGCTTTCACCGTGGAGAGGTGTTGTGCGGTTTGGAAAGAAAGGGAAGTTGAGTCCCAGGTACATTGGACCGTACACGGTCACAGAACGAGTTGGTGAGGTAGCTTACAGGTTGGAGTTGCCTCCGGAGTTGGCTAAAGTGCATAACGTTTTTCACGTGTCTATGCTCCGACATTATGTTGCCGATCCGTTGCATGTGATACCTCCTCAACCGTTAGAGATAAATCCAGATTTGACGTACGACGAGGAACCGTTAACGATCTTGGATTGGAAAGAGAAGGTTCTGAGGAACAAAACGGTGAATTTGGTGAAAGTCTTGTGGAGGAATCACTCGGTTGAAGAAGCTACTTGGGAGACAGAAAGTAGAATGAGGGATTTGTATCCTAGATTGTTTTTCGATCACTAGGGGTTATATAAGGTTGTTTTGAATTTCGGGACGAAATTCTATTAAGGTGGGTAGGTTGTAACATCCCGTCCCGGAATTATTAAAACGTACATGGAAATTACAATTTTACCCCTAGTTGTTATTTTTACGTGTAGTTTTGTGTTGTGTGGTGTGTAGGACCACACACACACACACTCCTACACCTCGTCTCACTCCCCCGGGATTCCCTCATTTCCTGTCTCTTCCCTGTCTCTCTCTCACTCTCCCCGAGTTCTTCTTCTTCTTCCTTCTGCAAACACACGGACACACACACAAATCTACTCAAACCTTCACCAATCGAGAAACCAAGACCACCATCGTGTTCGTGGAGCTGAGAGAAGTCCAGTGGTGCCATTTCCAGGTAAGAACTTTGACGTTTTCACGTCGATATCGCTTTGGCCGATTTGAACACTGTTCATGCACAATTAATCTAGCTTGTTTTGGGAGATTCTAAGCTTGTAGTTGTGTTTGTGAGGTTCCCAGGAGCTTGGGAGTGGTTCGTTGGGTGAATTTGGACGTCGGGATTGTCCTGTGCAAAGTTGGCCGAACTTGGATCGTTGTTGTAGGTGAGATTTCATGGTTTTTAGGCCTTAAAACTAGTCTAACGTTGTTCTACTAGTCCTAGGCTTCATTTTGGTATAAAGAACGTGAAATTTGGTTGAAAAACGAAGGAGAAAACAAAGTTTGAAAAATTCCCAGTTTTCCGGCGACGGCGCCGGCGACGGCGGCGGCGCCGGCGACGGCGACTGGCCGGAGAAGGAAGGGGAATATTCCGTTAAGTTTAACGGAATATTCCTAACGGCAGTGACGGCGTCAGTTAGGGAATATTCCGTCAGGTTAACGGAATATTCCTGACGGCGTCAGTTGACGCCGTCAGTGTGCAGTGCACGTGACTGCGCGTGGGGGCGCGTGGGTCAGTGACTGTTCAGGCGCGTGGGGGCGCGTGCGTGGTCCAAAAATTATTTTAAAAATATGGGTGTGATCCTGAGGTTGTGTAGATCACGTTGGTATATTCAATTGTCCAATTTGAGCAATGTATGAGAAGTTATTACGAGAAGTTGCTTAGGTGCTTTTAAATTAATGTTTTCGTAACTTTGTTGCGTATAGGTGATTCGTTTCCCGAGGACGAACGTTCACATTCGAGGCAGGGGGGCTACGACCCTTCTAATTACCAGTGAGTGGGCTTTTGTTTTCCGTATATACCTATATACATTTATATTCCCAGAAATTAAATAGAAAAGGTTATTTGAGTTATGCCATGCACTTTATTATTATTACTTATGCATCATCACATGCATTAGTAGCGGCATACATATAAATAAATGTGTATTTGGTGCTGTGGACGCACAGGTAAGTGCCAGGTAAGCGGTATTCATGTTGTTATGCAATAGTAATTTGAGATGTTTAGAGAGCTCATAATCTGCACCCCCGGTGTTAGTGCTCCCGCCCAGGGCCAGGGCACAGTCCTTCACGTGATGTTCACCAGCACCATGATGCCGGAATTACTTGACACTCAAATTAAACCCTCGTTTGACAATTGTAGTAGAATGGATAAGTGAGGGATCGTTCTAGACCGGGGATTAGGAGGGCTTGCTAAAACCTTCTAAATTGACTTAAAAACATAAAAACTAAATTAAAATACTCTTAACAAGACTACTATGACTCAGAATGGCTTTGAAAAACTCAAATTGTCTAAAACAATCAAATTGACTCAAATGGAAGCTAGAACTTGATTTAGATGAATTTGCATTTATTTATGACTCCAAAAGCTTAAAGATACAAACATAAACGAATGATTAAGACTTAACAAAATAGGGGGGGGAATTGTGGTTGGACGATATTAAATTAAAAAGACAGAATATAATTAAAGGCAAAATGTAAATATGAATAAAAATATGGATGATGGAATAGCCAAGGGGTTCTTCTCCACACATGTTACACTTGCATACAAAATTGATTCTCAGTTGGTCTTTCGATAAGTTGTGAAACTCAATGCTCCAAGTTAATT